GGAGGCATCAGGGGTTGGATTGACCCCCGATGTCTTTCAGTGAGGAGCCCTTCTCTATCCTAATAATGAATACCAGGGTAGGCAAACTCCAGCTGTGGCAAAACTACAAATACCATCATGCATCCACCTCTGGAAGTCATGCCTTTGTTTGTCAGATTCTTGCAATGCCTCAAGGGATTTGTAGTTCCATCACAGTCGGAGGGCTGGAGTTTGCCTATTCCTGCTGTATACCAAAAGTCCCCTCTGTGTGCCCTGAGCGGGCCAGAGACAGTAGAATCATTTAAAGTCATTTTGGTTTTAATCTAAACTAACTTGCTGTAATGGCTTTATTGGGTCACCTATCTAAGATTTTGGGTATCATAGATTTCCACAGTTTCACAAGCATATACAATACACTTGATATATTTGGTATTTATTAACACAGTCTCATCTTTTTATACTTAACCCTTTCACTAACACAGACATAAGTACTATGTCTGTGGTAGCAGGGAGCTGTAAACAGACGCCCGGCTGCTATAGCCGACTATCGACTGTTAGCTTTCATGTGATTTACTATCCGCACCCAAAAGGGGCTGCCCCACCCACATGAATACCTTAACCATGTATCTCGGGCTCCACTGCCCTCCTGCAGGCCTGGGACAACATATGCAGGAGGACCAACATCTTTTTATGCAGTAGATTTTCTGCTTTTAGAATATATATATTTTAAGGTCATTAGTACAGTTGCTAGTCTATAATGTTATTTTCTTATATTTTTGTAATATACATTATGAACTGTGTATGCATATGGAAGGTGGCTGAAAATTAAGGGGGGCAAAGCTAATAATATGCCTAGGGTTCTGTTTGGTCCTAATCCAGCTGTGTGCTTTGCCATGGAGGACACTGAGCTCCACTAGCCAATAAGGCACACTTGTTGGACAGGGATCAGCTGGATGTAGGGAGCTGAACACTTTCCCAAGTCAAAAAGTTAAGGTTTATATAGTGATGTAAAAAAGGAATCTTAGGGCACAGAGAAGATTGTTCTTTCATGCCAGCTCGTATGCAACACTTTGGGGCCCCGTTCACACCGGTCCGCGCAATTCGAACCTCCTCCCGCCCGATCTGCTCCCTGAGGGTTTTTTTCCACTTTGATCAGTGCCGTTTCCATACTACTTTCAATGGAACTGCGTTGATCAGCACGGTTTTGGCAGTTTTTAATTGCAATTCAGTTCTGAAACGCAATTCAAAATGCCCAAAACTGCCTTTTTAAAAATTGTGCGGCAGCCACTCTGATCTGCACCCGCCCTTGTGTGAACAGGGCCTGAGCTTTAAGTTGAAGGAAAGGAATGCTTTAACATTCAATGTTATAATGGCATTGTGTTTAGGATCATTGAAACTAGAGAAGATTGTCACAGAAAACTGATATGCAAAGTGGAGTAGCCCACATAAACCAATCAGATTCTGGTTTATTATCAGTGACAAAATTGTAATTGGCTGGTAGAAATAACTGCAAGCTGCACAGTCTTGTTTCCCTTATGAACTGTATGAGCTACATCAACAGTGCATCCATTAAAATTATAATAGAAACCATGTTCCTATGTCATATTGAGGGCATTAATCTATTAGCAGAGAGACAAGAAATGCTACACAGTGATCATCTGCACTGAAGAATGTAAGGAAGAATGTAATGACACTGAAGGCCTAGATAATTCCTGGAAGACGACCACCAATGTGGAAAAAGGCATAGAAGCACATAACCTTTATGGCAGAAAACATTGCCTCCAGGAAATGCATACATGTAAAATGAATATAACATCATTTATTTATATGGTACCAGCATATTCAAATATTTTTATGGTAGAATGAAAGGAAAATATGCACAGCATACAGTTACTGTATTGTGATTATAAATGGATTATACATGACCGAGTGTTATTACAAAAAGTAGCTTTAGAATTAGAACAGCAAGCCATTGTCTTACCACAATTATCAGGTACATCATAGCACAATTGTAACTAACATATGTACGCTGTTCACAATAAATCATACACTGCTATAGCATAATTGCATTTTACTCTAGCAAAATCCAATGTTAGTATCCAAATATGAGAAAAAACATTTTCTAACTTGGTCCTCTCTATTAGGAACAATAAATGTAATAATTTACACAAAACTAATTTTTTTTTTTTAAGTAATGAGAATATTTACTCTTCCCATCCTGAGTTCTTTTAGATGGTCAAATATTTTATTGGAATCATTCATATTGTGGGTAGTTTAATATTGTGGACTTACATAAGGGCAGATCTTTCATTGGGAATAGTGGTTGCTACAAAATATGCCTATCATTAATTACATTTATGACCCACTATAACTCACAGTTGCGTTTTCCCAATTTGACAGGTGGAGTGTGGCTTTTAAAATGTCCAGATTCTGCTGTACAAATATTGTTCAACATTGCATGTTACAAGCAATGCATTTGCCATTATATGCCTCAAAGAGAATTATACAGCAGCAATCCACTGCAGGGTAGTGATGGTCTGCCGGTTCGAATCGAACGTAAGTTCAATTCGAACAATGCCTGTTCGAGTGTTTGCCGAATGCTGAACTTTTTGGGATTTTTGTGGTCTGTTCGACCACACAACGTCCCACAAGGCAATGTGCTCTCTGAAGCTCAAAGTCTTGCACCGGTCAGGTGCAAGACTTTGCCCAATCAGGGCTCAGTACTCAGGTAGAGCCATGACTGGGCAAAGTCATGATGACTTTGCCCAATCATGTCTCAGAGCTAAGTCCCAGCAGCACACTATATAAGGCTGCTTACACCGCAGCCCTACGTAGTGTGTTGCTGCAGTCAAAAAAGAGAGTTCTATAGCAGAGTTCTATATACAGCGTTCTATAGCAGAGTTCTTTGTACAGCATCCTATATACAGCGTCCTATATACAACGTTCTATATCAGAGTTGTGTACTATAGCAGTCAGTCATACTGGTCTATTATAGCAGAACAGTTGATTCTAACAGTCGATTATTGCAGTCTATTGCCGTAAACATCATGTCAGAAAGGCCAAAAAGGCAGATGCTCCCATGCAGCAATAAGAGGGCAAGTAGCCTCTGTGACCGCAGGCTAAAGTCGTGGTCGTCGTCGTAGACAACGCTGGACGCTGTGATTGACCATGGATTAGGTCGGTGGATCCATTTTTTGGGGGGGGTAGTTTTAAATAAAAGACTTGTCAAAAACATGTCTTTTGTTTTTTTTTTCCAAATAAAGGATTTTATCAAAAGTTTGGACTTTTTAATAACTATTTTATTTAACCCTTTAGTGAATGGGTAGGGGTACAAATTCATTCACATGGGTGGGGGGCGGCATCTGGGTCCCCCCTTAATGAAAATGGTACCCCAATGCAAAAAAGCCCCCATGCCCGCAGATCCCCACAACCACTGGGTCAGGGTTGTGGGGAAGAGGCTCTTGTCCCCATCGGCACAGGGACAAGATGCTTTTCCATTTCAATGGTCTGGTATGGACCTTAAGGTCCTGGTATGATTTTAAGGGGGAACCCCACACACTTTTTTTTTTGTTTTTTTTACACGGGGTCCCTACTAAATATTCTCCCCAGACCTTAAGGGTCTGGTATGACTTTTGGGGTGAACCCTATGCTTTTTTTAAAAAAATGTGGTCCCTCCTAATATTCCTCCCAGAATATTTATTGACTAGTGTATGTCTATTTTAGATAGTGAACTGTGTACATGGTTCCATGCTTCATTGGCCCCTATATGGCCCTTTTCCAAATAAGTCTAGAAACTTAGTTACTGCTCTCTCACTAGATAAAAAATTTCTTCTGCATAATTATGCTACAAATATGTTTCCTTTTGAGACTGTAAATATCAGCTAGTGGGTGTTTGCTACCCATACACTGCCAGCTTCATGATCGTCTCTCTTGATTGTGGCCTTTGGCCCCGTTCACACCTTTCTTACGCCTGAAAAACGTCGGTAAAAACGCGCGTAAGACGCGCATACATAAAACGCCAAGGTGTGAACCCAGCCTTTATGTGGACATACTACAATATATCTCTGATGTCATCTGGTTTCAGGTATAAAATGTATGGAAAACTGTATGAAAAATATATGTACCGTATGTAATTGTTTTGCACGTGTTCCTGAACTAAGAGGACTCCGGTTCTAAGAGTGTGTCTCGATTGACGATGCTTATGATTCGCCTTGACTTCTGGTGCATTGGTGCATGGTTTATGGCTTCTGATTATTGTTTTATGGATTCTGATTATTATTCAGCTAGACTCCTGGTTTTTGTTCCCTTGTTACAGTTTTTACATTTCCTGTTTCTAGGCCACTCCTGGCTATTGATCAGCTAGCTGCCTTGGTCCTTCTACTTAACTGTTCCTCATTATAACTAAGATAGTCTTACTTGACATGGAGAATCACCACTATTCTCTAAACATAACTTTTTTTTCTCTATCCATGAATGTTAATGAAATCTCTTAATAGTGCATCTTGTGATTCACATTTGTGCTTATAACTGCCCTTTATTATAGATATTTTAGATTTCTGTTTTCCTTAAAAGAGAAGAAATGTGGTTATAATTTTGCTGCTGTATTTCTCTTCTGTGCTTGTTATTTACTAACAAACATCCTTCCTCCCTGAACACTATACAGCTCTGTCAATTAGAAGCTACATAGATGATTTCTATTCTTTTCCCTAGAACCCTCTGACCTTTTCTTCTCTTATGTCTGATAATTATGTTGTAGTTCACAAACAGAGGAGACAGTTTTCATAATCACATGTATTCACAAAACCCTTGTTGTCAATGCCATGAATGTAGTCTTTATAGCATGGCATGCAAATACGACTTAGAAAGGTGCAATAGGATAATGTGGGGGTTATTGCATAGTGCGGGACGCTTTTATTCACATCATTAGAGAATTCTTCAGGGGATTGTGATGTTTCAAACATAACTACTCAGAAAAAAAAAGGTTTTACATAATGACTTGCATGATGCTAAATGTGAAAGAGACCCTTTAAAAGGAGGCATTTACACTGTGTGTGTGCGTGTGAAGGGAAAGCAGCAGACAGTTCAGCAGGCTGTCTGCACCAGTTTTGCAAACATGGTTACATCTTACCCCCTTCCTGAAGGTTTCACTGAGATTGAAGTCTTTGGCATTGGCACAACACTTCTGATTGAAGGTAAGACCTTTTTGTACATGTCAGCTTCCCTGTCGCACCCTTCAGAAACATTACAGCAAGACACATGATTTTTATGATTTATAAGCTGTTCAGACATCTTGGTGTGCAGAAAACAAAAATGTAGAAATGAAGGCAGCTTAAAAAGTGTCTGTCAAACGAGACATAGGCACAACAGATACCTGTTAAGACCTTTAGAAGTTAGAAAAACCTTTTTGTTATGTATATGTACCACATATATGTTACTGTTTGCAATAGATCACAAAATAAGGATGCATAGGAAAAGCCATGTCCTCCTTTTTTAACCCTGCTGGTTTATTTAAAATGGTAAGCCCATTAACCCCTGAAAGCCAATTTAGTCTGGATCACAACCTTTCACTATCAGGCTTTTTCAATTGCAAATATTGTGCGAAATGATGTGCAAAGTGCAACAATTGATAGCAACCAATCAGGAATCACATTTCTCAAATATTTCAACCTTGAAGTAAAATCTGATTGAGTTAATTAGGTTACTGCAGAAAAGCTTGTACAAAGTATGAACTAGAATGCTGCTTCTATTAAAGGGTATTCAATAAAACATACAATTTATTCCCACTATATAGCTCCTAGGCATCCTCGGATTACTAGGCATCAGCTTTGCCTTGCAGATTAAAAAGAGAGGTTTTTACCAATAAATAAAATTCGAAGTATAGCCTGTATGTGTTTTAAAAAAACAATTATTCCTCTCTGGCGTTTATACGTAATACATAAAGTACAGTGAATTTGATTTGTACCCATGGCACAAATTACATAAGATGTTTTATCACTAGATGGTGATAATTAGAGCATAAACATCTACACATCTTTCAGATGGAATGCTTAGAAAAAAAAGTCAAATGCAATGCATGAGAACAAGATGCTACAAAATTTTGTAATTTTTGCTGCACTTAGGTGCTGTAATCTATTGCAATCTGCCAGATGGTGACCATACATTGTAGGAATATGATTGCATATCATGCCATTTAAAATCTAATCTGCTGATAACTTCTCTTTTGGAAATTATTCCTATTGACAATTGTCAGCAGCTAAATAATTTGAATAGTAAATGCTGATGTATGAAGGCCACATATGTCCATGTGAATACTCACTATAAGACTTATCATATGAGAAACATGACGTTGCCATGCTCTTCTTCTGCAACTGACTGGCTATTTAGCTGACTCTCGTGCGTCAGTACTTTAAATCTGTAACCTGGAACAAGTATGAAGATACGGACTGATTTTTTTCACTTTCCTTATCTACGTAATTGTTTTGGGGAAGTCAGGATAACAGCCTCAAAGGCTCACTTTATGTTCTATGTCAGTAGAGGAGAAAATAACAATTGACAGTTTGTGCAAATACAGCGTTATGATACATACTGAATCATTTTGCGCTTGTTAGTCATGAAACTGCAGATCATTAAATTATAATTCCATGCAAATCATTTGTATCAACCCATGCAGTGAGGCAACTCCTGCACTGCAAGGATTAACTGCTTGTTTTGGTCTAGGGAAGAAAATAAAAAAGTTATCCTCCCACCGATCCTCTGAAACGGCTTGCTCTTAGAACAGTCCTTCCAGCCTCTCTCCCCCTCTGCTGCAGCGGTCTAAGTTCCCATGATTCTTCACGTTCTATACACTGTGTATGGACATTAGGACGCCAAGGGACATATCACTGCTGAAGTGGAGCAGGAGAGAGGCTGGAGGGAGTGCTGTCACAGTTGGCTGGCTCGGAGGATCAGGCAAGTATAACTTTGTTAGCTTTCCTCCCAAGACCCAAAATGAGTAGTTAACCCTTGCAGTGCAAGAGTAGCAACACTGCAAGGGTTAATAAAACAATTTTGCCCAGAGTTTTTCTATAATGATACAAGATGATGTTTTTTAAACGTTCATTTTTGCCCTTAACCACTAGCATTGTCTTACAGCTCTACTTGGATTTGTTTTAAATGGCCTGACAATCGCTTCTTTCTACAAAATAAGAGAGCTCAGGACACCCAGCAACCTGCTCATAATCAGCCTAGCAGTGGCAGACACTGGACTGTGTATCAATGCTTTTGTAGCTGCATTTTCCAGCTTTCTAAGGTAAAATAAGCATTATTGATTCTTGTAATAAAACAGTAGTATACATTTCCAAGTACCATTTTGAATGTAAAGTGTACTGTATATGCTGATAAGAGGAGTCTGTTAGCCAAGCGCATGTAAATGGGCAACGTACAAAGGTTTTCCACTACTCCCAATGCTGAGGAAGGGACTTATGCAAACCAGACACTGGAGAGGAAGTTATAGGCTTGTCCAAAGAATGCAAAGTTTTTTCCGGGGGGGGGGGGGGAACTTCACCCTCTGGCGGTCTACCCCAATCAAAGTTTTTTTGGGGGGGGGGGGGGGGGAAACTCCTCTCACTGTGGTGCTGCCCCCACACTGCCAGGGTTAAATGTTTGTTTAGGTCTAGGGTACCTGGGAAAAGAACTTTTACTTACATGAACCCTAATCCCGCAGGCTTCCTCCAGGCTTCAAAACTGAAACCTGCAGCCTCTTCTTCCCTACGCTCTGGAAGTTAGAGGCCTGCTGACAACATCAAGTACAATGCAGGGCTCATGGCCCTACATTGTATCTAAGGATGCCGAGGGCAGCTGGAGTGTAGGGGAGACATCATCAGTGCTGACTGCCAGGGCAGTGGAGCTCAGGTAAGTAAAACTGATTTCCCTATGCCCTACCCAAGCATTTAACCCTTTCAGCTCCACTGAAGTACATGTAAACACATTTACTAAAATCTTGTATCATTTTTAACAGGTTAATGTACTTTCAAGATTCCAATTCTGGGACTTTACTTTAAATAATACCTGGTGATCACGCCATGAAGGTTCTTATTCTGCACTTCCTGTGATAGGGTGACAACACTTTGTCCCATCACACGCACTTTCAGTGGAGATTATAACTGGATGTGCTGTTGGTCATTTTATAGGCATGTTCCACCATTGTCACTATCAGGAACTCCACGTTGATCAATTACATGCAGCTAACAAAGGGGCGAGTGCATGTAGACACAAGTGACTGCCAAGAGGCTGGAAGGGATCAACAGCACTGAAGTGATTGTTTATGATATAGTGCTTGAGCAAACTAAATATCATTCGCTTGGGGTTACATCTACATTACGTGAATGTGAAGTCTTGGCTGTCCCCCCTCACATGCAATAAATTGTGCAGAATAATCACCAACTTTGGAAGAACATTATTGCTCTGTAAAGCAGAACATAAAACAGTGTTATTACAAATGCAGATTTAAACTGTGACTGTAAGCACAACCCGGCCAACAGACATTTAGCTCTGGAATTTTACTATTAGGACAGTGGCATTTTTTTTCTTTTAAAAATTAGATAGACAGATAGATAGATAGATAGATAGATAGATAGATAGATAGATAGAGCAATTTTGTTCTTATGTATGAGGCAGATATACAGGGCACAAATTAATGTAGCTCTTAATCATAAAAAATAAATGTTTAAAAGCAAGCAGTATATGTACCTGAATATGACTTGGTTTCAACCCTTTGCAGTCTACTGTACACCAAATCTCAGCCAGGGGGATGGAGAAGCACCACAAGCTTCAGTGTGCTGCTTTTCCTTTTATTGTCTGGGGAGGAGACCTGTAAGTAAAAGTGAAACTGCATCAGAGAAAGATTAAGTTCCCTACACTCCCATACAGAGCTGTGATATGTGGCAGAACTATTTAAATCTCAGGACTTGATGGACAAATGCAAATCATTTGGCAGGTAACACAGCTCTCTTATATTTTATGTGTGCATCTAACTATTTGCCCAGAGTTTAGGTTTCATACTCACACACTAAATCTAATTCAAATGCATGTCAAAACACAGTTTTCAAAGGTACCAAAGAAATATGGGGGTGCCCTTTCTTACCTCTTCTTCTAAAAATAACTAGTTTCCTGCCTGACATGCTACTCTGTTGACTTTAAGGCTTACAAGTCTCTGGGCCGTGTACATACTGGAATACAAATGCAAATCAGGAGTTCTGACTACTGTCACTTCCTGATCTGCATGCTTGTTCAAGGCTAGTGAAGAAATATTGAAGCCAGACAAAACCAGGCAACTAATATTTTCAAAAGGAGGTCAGCAATATCACTATTTCTATGTCCTTTAAGAGGTAGTTTAGCAAGTAAGATATACATAAGTCTTTCCATTTTAGTGGCTAAATTAGAATGAATTAGAATGATGAAAGGGAAATTATCCAAAAACTAAAATAAACTAAACAAAACCTGGGATCTACAGCAATATGGCTGCCTGATATTAAAGTCTCACAATACAAACTCTGAAAGAGGGCTACAATATGATTTACGACCATGTCTTCTGCAGTAGATAAATATGGAAAATGCTGCAAATGATATGAACATATGTACATATTTAAATGTCCTGATACATTCAAAGTGTATGCCATGCATAGCCAAAACCTTTTTAAATGGAGTTTGTTTTTGTTTTTTCATTTTCTTGCCTGTGTTTTGCTGCGTAGATATCCAAATTAGAGGAATTATTTCCAAAATTAGGCGAAATACCTTCTTAGACAGGTCAAAAGAACAAATGCAATTACTAGAAGATTTCCCTCAGTTCTTGCGTAATGGTACATTTATGGATTTCCTAGCAATTCCTGTCTCTGCGACAATAATCACAGAACAAATGGGAAGAGATATCCAGCCTAATGGAGACGCAGACAGAACTGCATGTTATATTTGGAAACTGTAGTAAGTTACGGTAGTTGATTGTAGTAAAGATGAAAATGGATACTGTGGCATGTATGGACATATTGATTGTGGGATTTACATGGCCATGTTCCCTATGGTAATGAGGTATGCACTTACCTACAAAACTGGAACAAAAAGGTTTTGTCTATACATACACTTTAACACAAAAAAAAAAAAACAATCAGGCCAATTTTATGACCAGTGTGTCCATTAATGCCATTGTAAATGCATACCTCATTACCATAGGGAACATGGCCATGTAAATCCCACAATCAATATGTCCATACATGCCACAGTATCCATTTTCATCTTTACTACAATCAACTACCGTAACTTACTACAGTTTCCAAATATAACATGCAGTTGTACTCGTGTTTGCCAATTTTCCACAGCAGATAATTATTCTGAGTCTTACAATCATGGGCCTGTTATCATAACAAAATCCAAAAAAAAACAATTTCAGGCAAAGCTATTTCTGAATGTAATTGTTATTGCAGCCACAAGTCTGGCATAGTAGTTCATTGAGAGCTATGTACCTAGGCAGAAACATTGTCTAAACTTGCGCAATGGCTCTGAGCTCAATATATTCAGACAGTGTGAAAAGTTAGCTGGTTCCAGTCTATCGTGTTCTAAGTTTTGTTATTGGTACAATTTGAAGTATGCGACAATACCATTCTTGTATGATTTAACATCAGTACACCATTTTAACAGGTATTGGCCGTATGGATCAGATGGATGTCAGATTCATGGATTCCAGGGATTTGTTGCAGCTCTGTCCAGTATCAGTTCATGTGCTGCAATAGCATGGGATCGCTATCACCAATATTGTACTCGTAAGTCTAAAGTTTATAACAGCAAACACAGGAATCTATACATGTGTGCATAATTGCATACAAAAAGGTGGTATTTTGCTCATGCCTGAGATTATTTTCGTTGAAATTCACATGCACATTAGGGGACACATTGTAATATTGATTATATTGCTCCTTTAGAAATGTTTAGTAATGACTACCGATGCACTGATACCTTTCAGATACTACACTAGTGCCGATACTTGGCATTTTCACGAGAACTACCAGGGTTGCAGTGGTTGTAGCTGGGATCTGGCTCTGGCGCTCCACCACTGTCCTGAAATCATTAGTCTGTATTGTTTTAGAAAAACTGTCACATGACAATAAAAAAAAATGTATCAGTACTTGTACTTGTACATATTGGGCAAGTATCAGTACTTGCAAAAATGGTATTAGTGCATCCCTGGAGCTCCGTGTGCTCCTTACAAATGACAGCTGCCTCCTAACTTTTGAATTTTTCTCTAGTCTAGTCTTGGAGCTGTATCTGTACTTGTACCGACTACGGTACTTGGTATCAGTGCATCCCTGGTAATGACAATCTACAAACACATACTTTTGGATTAATCACAGCTTTTTAGTCTTTGCATACCTTGTTTTTCAGTTCATCCCCATTCTTCTGACAGTGGCCATTTTTACTAAGGGCAGATTAATCCATCTCCCTGTACTTCCAGGAACTCAGACACATGTGACTAGGACATGTGACCATACACATCATCTCAGGGGAGGAAAATGCCTTTCCATGAGATTACAGATGAGATTTCCCAGCAATGCACTGCTGATGTAACCTTCCCAGGATGCAACACTTGGGCAAAATTACATCACTTGTGCCAAAGAGAACTAGGAAGTAGAAAACAAGAAATTTTAAGTAAAATGAAAATATGTTTGTTTAACTAATGAATGTAAGATGATTTCATATCAGCATGCAGAGCTGCATGCTGATGGGATTTTTAGTCAAAGGGGGTTAAAGGTCTGCTTTAATTCCTTTTTTTAACACAGTGTGGTTGTTACATATATAAGGGAGCTGATGGATGTAGTGGTCTCAAATAATAATGTGCAGGGGCTTAGTTCACCCAAGCCTACACAAAACTGTGATTTACCCCCCCCCCCCCCCCCTTCCCCCAAAGCCCAATCAGTTTCGGGAGTTGCCAGTGGATAATGCCACAGCCTCAAATTCGCACCAAGCTCCTGATCCTCACTAGCCTTGATGGGTCCTTTTACCATGAAGTTTGTGTGTGTGTATGTGTACAAATATCTGGAAATTGCACCACTAAAGATGCATATACTGTACATGCCTGAGCAAAGCCTAGTCCTTTTCGATCACACTAGGTGTTTGAAAAGAGCAAGGAAAGCAAGGATAGTCTGATGTTCTAGTATAAGGTGCATTACAGGAACCCAGCTCTGAAAGCCCCACTTTACATTTGATGCAATGTACTGTAAACAATAGATAATAAACAGTAATATTAAGTACTTGAAAGGCTGGCATCTGAGATTTAAAGGATAAGTGCACGTGTACTTTTTGTCTTCCCATGCTGTGCTATACTAGCCCAATTTCCCCTTCTCCTGATGCATACCTACCTCGCTATCATACCTCCGGCCTCCAGTGTTTGTTTAAATCCCACCAGCAGATCTTGAGTGTGCTGACTGCTCCTGCACAGTAGCTTTACATGGGGTTCTATCAGGCCCGGAGTCCCGAGACAGGAGACGCATAGGAGACATCCCTATGGGAAGCAGCTGCACAGGCAAGTCCAGCTCATCCAGCTGGCAGGATGTGAGCAAAAACTGAAGGCCGCAGGTACAATTGTGAGGTATGCATCTGGGGAAGGGGAGAACAAGTGGACTTATTCTTTAAATCCCAGGTGCCGCCCCTATTATTGTGAGTTAAGTATGCATCTAGGGAAGCGGTAGGTGGGCTAGTTTAGCACAGCATAGGGAGGCAACAAGTATCAGTACACTTTGTACCCTATTAATCTGAGGTTCCCTAAAGCAGTGTTACAGGTGATCAACATTTGTAACAAATTACCTACTGACAATAATGTTTAGGATGACTTAATCTGTGAAAACATACCTGTTATGGAGAAAATCTGGAGCAGCTGTGCATGGCAACCAATCAGCTTTTCTCTTTCATTTTCAAATCTTAACTGAACAAACTGAAGAGAAAAGCTGATTGGTTGCCACTGGCAACTGCCCCAGATTCTGTCTGCTCCAGTTTTGATAAATTCCCCCCATCATATCTATCAGACACTAGAAAGTGGACTGTTTACAAAAAGTCAACAAGCAATTAACAAAATAAGTTTATTATGCTCCAGCTGTTGACATATACATTAAACCTACAGACACCTATAAAAGTGCTCTTTGGTCGGCCTTACTGGAGTTTTAAAAAATGTGTACCCCAACTGCTAACACTCTCTCCAGCAGTTCATTAGAGACAAAAAGGCAAAAGTGCAGCGGAAACATGGGCCCCACTCCAAAAGTCTAATTTTGTTTCCTAAAAACAATAGTATCTTGCACTATAAAAGAATGATGTACTTTTCAGATGTCAAAGTTTTACTACAATTGACAAGAGGAGATCTGGAAATGCTGTAACTTTGAATAATTCCCAGCTTAAGTGTATAGTTTGTATGGCCTCCATGACCATGTGCTCTCATTGGCTGGCTGTTTATAAACTATTCATCCCCTGGGCCATGTGCTCATATTGTATAATGTGTACAGTATTGCTCCACTCTTTATCATGGCAGAACAATAGCTTGAAAAAATAATTTGCATAATAGATTAAAATCTGGTGACTGCTGCTTCTAAATGTATCTACAGGCAAACTAATTGTCTAAGGTCTTTGAGCATCTTTAGACTAGTTATTAAATATATTGTCCCATATTTCCACTATTTAAATAATGTCTACCCACTCATCGGTTAATGTTTTTTGGATATTTAGATTGCTATTAGTGTATTTCCTGCTCTTAATAACCCAATTACCGTATTTTGTCTATAAGACGCTCCGGACGATAGGACGCATGGCTTCTGTAACAGAAATTCTATGACAGAAATTCTGTCACAGAAGCTGCAGTTAGTGACTGCTGAGACAGGTGGCGCTGTCTCAGTAATCACACAGAGCAGACGAAGAACGCCGTTCTTCGTCTGCTCAATGAGCTCTATGGTGTGCTCCTATGGGGGATCGTGACGGGTCACAGTCCCGCAGAGGAACGGGGGACACAGAAAACCTCGGCGGGGGGCGGACACTATCGCCGATGCCGCCGCCGCTCGATTTAATACAAGGGATCTACTTAGATCGCTTGTATTAAACGAACAGCGGCTCCCACTGTACATTCAGCTCTGCTTGTCAGGAGCAGGGCTGAATGTACAAAAAGAAACTATTCGCCCGGCGCCCGAAACTGCATGTCCCGGGTGTCGGGCGATAGGTATTCGCTCCATGAGACGCAGGCACATTTTCCCCCTCCTTTTGGGGGAAAAAAAGTGTGTCTTATGGAGCGAAAAATACGGTATATATAATTACACCTGAATCACCGTTTGTGTCAGTGTTCGCACGGTGCTTATACAGATTAAGATCAGGTCCCTGATACCTGAGTGTCAAATTTTTAGCATCTAATGGTGGCCACAGACCTTACAACCAAAACTTTTGTCTTGCGATGGTTGTAATTAAAAAAACGTACAATCTGCACATCTTGGATAGGCAGATCGTACTTGCGATAATCGCAAGCCCGCCCCGCTGAGGGGCGGGTTTCCGTTGACCGCAATGCTGAAAGGGCAGTGTGCGCTTACGAACATGCCACACACCAGCCGACAATCGTACTATTCTCTGCGGGTTTTCGAACATGTTCCTAAAATAAAAGTCGTGCGACCGTATAGTAGTAACAGTCGCATGCCTTCCACAAACCTTGCGATATCCCACCCGTGATTATCGTACGATTAAGCCAAACTTGCAGATCCCCTTGTGGGTAGATGTGGTTGTGCTATGGCCGCATACATTGATAGATGAAGTTATCACAGTACTTCCTCTATTATACCATTGTGTATTCACAAAGATACTGTAGCTGTTATCTAATTTGTTATACAGGTATGTGTCTTTACCCAGCACATCATACATTATTTTGATTTATTAGGGCAGATTCCATTTTAATATCAAACATAGTTGGTAACATTACCCATTTCATCACAAGTATTTTGTTGGATTTCACAACATATGCTTACATACATTTTGCTATCCAGCATTGCGTGCCTTGCTTATTTCCAGCATAGGTAATAATTGCAAACAGCCAGCAACAGATTACTATGGGAGTGATCTACTACTGTAGGGAGAGGTCGGACAGTGCTGCAACAGCCCTGCCAAGCCTCCATAATAACAGGAAGTCTGGTGACATCATATGCCATAGCATAGTTTTTACATCGGCTTCTACAGCATGCTCCTAAGGATTGTTTCAGCCCCTGGGCTTAGTGGGGGGGTGCCAACTGTCACTGACAGCCAGGGGTTTAAGCCTAAGGCTAGGTTCACACCTGCATGACACCCGGGCAGTGCGTCCCGGGCCCGCGCGATCATGTGCTAGTGCACACAGCGGTTGACGCGCAGCCCCATTGATTTCAATGCGGTGACATCTGCACGGCAATCCCTAAAAAAGGTACATGTAACTTTGTTTGCGACACAGAACACGCTGCTTTTTTAGCAGGAAACCGCACAATCCGCCCGGCACGACTGGGATGCCATTAGAAAATAATGGCGCCCACAGCGCGATTGCCTGCAGTGGGCGGCTCCGTGACCGTGTGGCAATCCGCGCAGTTTTGTGTGCGATTGCCACGCGGTCAGGAGTTGCCCAGGTATGAACCTAGCCTAAACCCTACTGGGACCCAGAGGAGCCACTGATTCTCGGTGTCACTCTAAAACAATGCTGGAATCAATGAAAAGAAAAAAGGTGCAAGAAAATAATTACAGAAAAGATATTACAAAAAAGACAATAAGCAACAGTAAAGTAAACAGATTAAAATAGAAAACTACATAGCAGAATGCACCTTGTCTTTGGATCCATGCAGAGTAAGTTCAATCTGATACATCAGAGACACTGGCTTTCATATATAACCTTAGCATGCCGTCAAAAATTTGATGGTAAGTAAGAGCTTCAGTTGCCAAATGTAGCAGCTTGTTGTTGACCCTCTAGAGGGTGCCACCGAGCAAAAACCCATCCCATCAAAAGGTCTAAGGGGTGTGAGATAGCAATGCTGAAGTGTTTTATCATACTTCAGCAGGCACTCCCTTTGTTATGTGCAAAGTGCAGAGGTACTGTAACGTACAGAGTTCAGGGGATCAGGAGTGTGTTATGTAGAGTGAGCAGGGGGTCAGAAGTGTGTTATGTACAGATTGCAGGGGTCAAGAGTATGTAACATTTTGTGTAACTTACAAAGTGCAGGGAACAGGAGTGTGTTACATAAAGGGTGCTGGGGTCAGGAGTGTGTTACATGAATGGGTTCGGGGTCAGGAGTGTGTAACAGAGAGTGTCTGGGTCAGAAATATGTAATGTACAGCCTGCAGGGGTCAGGAGTGTCTAATAGAGTACAGGGGTTTGGAGTATGTAATGCACAGAGTGCAGGGGTCAGGAGTATGTGATGCATAATATAAATTAAAAATGAAAGTTTCTTATACAAAGTGTTTCAAGCAGCAAGCATTACATCTATATCTGTTGAATCAACTATATAGTATAACATATACAGAACCTGGCATTCAAAAAATCCCCTACTGTTATTATTGTAGGAAAAGGCTCATGTCCCATTATAAATGTAACCTCTGCATGGATCTTGGTTGGAGTTTACATTTCCATAGGGCTTCTTTTTCAAGGATATTTCTATGGATATCTCCTTCTCTACATGGGGATAATATCCTCTTCGCCCCTTGAAAAATACATGAGGAGACATCACCTCCACGGACATGTGAAAAATGATGGGAAGCATTAGAAAAGTGCACCACTTTGTACAATTCATATAATGATTGACCAAGTATGTGTTTTTCACAATGGAGAGAGATCCACACTACATCTACAGGTGAAACTCGAATAATTAGAATATCGTGCAAAGTTCATTTATTTCACTAATGCAACTTAAAAGGTGAAACTAATATATGAGATAGACTCATTACACGCAAGGCAAGATAGTTCAAGCCGTGATTTGTCATAATTGTGATGATTATGGCTTACAGCTCATGAAAACCCCAAGAACCCCAAATCCACAACCTCAAAAAAGTAGATTATTACATGCAATCAATAAAACAAGGATTGTACATAGAACAATATCGGACCTCTGAAAAGTACAAGCATGCATATGTACTCAGTACTTGGTTTGGGCCCCTTTTGCAGCACTTACTGCAATTACTTTTGCACGATATTCTAATTATTCGAGTTTCACCTGTAAATGAATCAACTATTTTGATGAGGGATTACCTATCACAATAGCATTGACCGTGTGACCAGGGTGATAACTGGTAGCCTTAAGGAGAGAATTCCCAGCAAGACTGCAACACCCTGCTGTAAGCCCTATACACTTGAAGATGATGTTGTAAGGCACTTATTGCTGATTTGTGGACTATTGAGGAGCTCAAGGCTTTAACACCCAAAGTTTATATAGCCAGGTAAACGACTGACCAAGGGCGGTACATGTGTGTCCACACATTGTCCCAGCCTTTCCAGCAAAGAGCTTATGCCCAACAGAATGGGGTGGTCCTCCAACACAGGGCCTGCTTTAAGTACTTTAGGAATATGATGGAAGACAGGAACAACAGGTGAATGCAACATAAGGAATTCTGCAGTTTTTCAGTTCCTTATCCCTGCTCCTGCTGGCAAGAGAGCATGTGGGGGGGGTTGGGTCTGATGAGGAGCAGCATAACGGACTGTCCCCTTGTTAAGGCTGCCATCCCATTGTGTGTGCAGAACTGTAGCTGCCCAGAATCAGCGTGTTGGGCACGAGAGAACATAGGCAGCAGCGCAGGTATCTGGGCCACCAGGCAAAAGATGTGGGAAATGTGCCCCGGGTGGCCATTGCTGGTGAACATGATAGCAAGGCTGCTATCTACCCGTCCCATGGATGCAATTGATGGGTAGACCTGTGAACAACCACCCAATTTAATGCATACTATCAACTAAATACATTCTGAACACAGAACAAGTGAATAACTGTCTGCCAAAGCATTTGGAAAGGCCTAAAATAAAGTCATAGAGCATTGCTTTACTGACCTGCATTGGATCATTATGAAATGCATTTGCTTATGCAATGATAACGCTGTATTACCTGTCTCTAAAAATTTTTATTGATGCCTATTTTGGTAAAATAAAACAACATTTAAAATAAACATTTTACAGGTAGCAAACTACACTGGAGCACATCAATTTCAGTGGTGATGTTTGTCTGGGGCTTCTCTGCATTCTGGTCTATGATGCCCTTGTTTGGTTGGGGTGAATATGATTATGAACCTTTAAGAACTTGTTGTACATTGGACTACTCTAAAGCCGACAGGTAAGTCTCCTTTGAGAAGAATTTGTAATTATTTTGTGAAATATGTAACAGCTACAGTATGCAACATTGGTGCAGTAGTAAAATGTATTATATAAATTAAAATGCAGGTAAAGGTTTACCTGCACTCAAAAAATGAAGATTTTTTTCTCTTGTGGAGCCCGAGAAATGTAAATTGTGTATAAACAAGACCTTGTGCCTTGAATGTCATATATGTTATCTGCAGTGCGAAATCATCTAAAACACTGCTGCTCCTGGCTGCTAGTCTCACATGATTTGGAGTGAGATTTGGTGATGTCACTAGTATATTGCTCACTGTTCTTCTATAAGCTTGTTGGAGAGGAAGCTGTACCTGAAGAAATGTAAAGCAAGCATCTCCCCTTTGCTGAGGTCATTATGTAGCTATGTTCTTCCTTCAACTCTCCAACTGCTATTTATTCCTCCACAAGACATCAGATCACCAATCATCAGGGGAGCAGCTTTAACATAAGCACAGCCCTGCACCTCTACCAAGATTGCCACCTTAACACACAACCAGAACCTGGAACAAGACATTGTAAATCAAAATTGGGGCAATACCAGCTGTAGAGAGTCTACCGATTACTCTGTCTTTTGTCTTCTGCTTGCCTTTTTTTGGCACAGCTTTCACAGTACAGGTCCTTTTTAACAACTAGCAGGCCAGGCTATTTCACAGGAACATACCAGTTTGTTTGTTTTTAAAGCTAATGTACTAATTTTTTCTAAATCGTTTTCCAACTGCTGCTCCTACCTCAATATACTATTATATGGATACACAACACTAGATCTACAACCAGCATGGCCTGTTATAAATACAGTTATGTGTTTATGTCTTGAGAGATGCATGAAATATGCAGAAAGAAAATGTGTGACTATAATGCTTTACTCTAATAGTGATTTTTATCAATAATTTGTTTTGACAGAAACTTCATCTCTTACCTTTTCCCCCTGGCATTCTTTGAGTATCTAATCCCTCTATTTATCATGATAACTGCATACCAGTCTATACACCAGAAGCTGAAGAAAAGTGGCCAGCTCAAGGTAATGCTAAGTTCTCACAATGACTGAGGCCCCACATTTTTTGGGGCAGCTCATAATAAGCTTGTTGGGGAATAAAGGGATTATCCCTGATTCTGTATTAGGTGAATACAATCAACTGTTTCTACTGAGAAACTTTTAAGCATTTGAATTTATGCTGATGTAATAGCTGGAACATTTATGTAACTTGTTCATTTAGGCAAAGCTTTGAATGTGGTTTTAATTCTTAATAGCAGCTCAGAATAAAATGACTTTGAGGTCTAACCAAGACGCCAGCCAGCTGGCTTGCTCAGCGGTTCTTGAGATACTCTGTCTATTCATGTGAAAACAAAGACCTAGATAGGAGGATGGTCAGGGCGGCTAAAGTTTTGTTGTAGAAAAATTGAAGGGCATTAAAGCAAACTTTAAATAGATTTCTTAATCTAGTGAAGGTTTAAAATTATAGCTAATACCCTCTCTGTCAGAACATATTTAGATTATGCTATAGTTCATTGGGATACTGTTTTTAAAGGGGAAATTATATCTACTGATCATTTGCTACATTAAAATGCTGTTTTACAATCAAATGGACATTACATGGAAGTTTTAAAAATTATATAAACATTATATGCAACAATATATTAAACAATATTAGTAAATGTAGTGCCATAAGCAATGTATCTCATAAATCCGTTAGTAGGATTTATTTCAAGTAATTGTAAACAACAACAAAAAGAATTGTATATCAACAAAATGAGCAATATCAAAATGAAAACAGAAATATTTAGCTTTTAATTTATTGATAAAGTTTGACTTTTGTCTGTTAAGCTGTTTATGGCTAGAAAATACTGAAATACCTTTCAACAACACAGCATCTTCTTTGACTAAGGTGTTAACAAAATAAGCTAATAGAAAACCACAGAAATCTATTAAATCTGACAAGGATGATATTTTTATATATGCAGCACATGGCAATGAATGTTACACTGGGATCAGGGTTGGATTTCCCACAAGGCCACCGAGGCCCGGCCACGGGGCAGCAGGGAGCAAAGCCACCGGCGGGTAGTTTTTTTTCTACATTTAGCCCTGCTCTGGGCAAGTAGGGTTAAATGTACAGCCGCTCGTTTTGTACAAGTGATCTCAGCAATGGGGGGGGCGCATTGAGGAACCCGGCCCTGGGGCAGCAGAGAGTAAATCCGGCCCTGACTGGGATATAAGCAAAAGAGAGTCTACAAATAGAAAGGAAATCTTATTGTAGGCTTATCAACACATGTGACCAGACTCAAGGCTGAATTATTTCGTTAGGTAAAAAACACTGCACACATTGCTTCCACCCCCATAAGGGTGATTTTCTGACACAGAAAAGAAATTGACAGAGGATATTTAATAAAGAGTTTTCACTCTTAAGTGCAGCAAATCACAGCAACTAATTAGTATCCATCATATATTGGTTTACCGTCAACAGAGTGCTTCTCATTGGCTGCTATAGCATTAAAACTCTTTATTGAATAACTCCCCATTCACACATGAGCATTCTGTGAATGTGAAAAATGTGCGATAAGCTTTAAAACTTTTTATTGAATAACTCCCCATTCACACATGAGCATTCTGTGAATGTGAATAATGTGCGATTTAACGCACATCCGCAAAATGTGTCAAAAATGCAAAATGCACTTGATGTGCCATCATCCGTTAATGGCACCCTAAACACAGTGGGGCAAATGCAAATTTTTTTCTCCCACGTTTGCATGCATTAAAAAGCGCACAATCGGGTCACAAGCACAGAGGAAAAAAGCAGGTGCAGGAACCCGTTGAAACCTATGGGGACGTGAGGCAAACGTAAGAAGCAAAAATGTGCACGAACGCAACACATCTTCCCAGTATGCCTACTTGTGAATGGTGGCTAAGGGTGCAGGTGCTTATTTATCAGCTAGGCCTAAAAGGCCAAACCTTGTAAATTAAGCAAACAAGGAACAACTACTGATTACATGCAATACTACTGATTCCAGTCTCTTTTCATTTGGGATGAAACTGCATCTCTTGTGTCTGCTCTTTTTCGTTTAGCATGTAAGGTGTGTTGGGAAGTGTTAGAATTCCTACTACAATTATTATTTATAAAAACCATAGAAAAGAAAATAGGAGCTGTTTTTGATAGTGATCAATAAGGTTTATTTTTAATCTGATTAGTCATTAGGGACAGAAATTCTTTTTTTCCCCATTTTATTTTCTCCAGTTTTTAGATTTGAAATTATACCTGTTCAGGTATGTTTTAATATTATTGTTATAGCAAATGCATATTATGTGACTACTAATTTAGCTACAATTTGCAAATTAACTGTTGAATTATTTTCCACCTTGTTTTTAAACTCTATATTCATTTAGGAACAATTATGTGAAAATGAATTAAAATTGATATAATTAAATAATTATGATCATGAAACTACCTTAACCTCCCTGGCGGTATTCCCGAGTGTGGCTCGGGGTTAATTTTCAGTACCAAGAGCGGTAACCCCGAGCCACACTCGGGATTGCGCAAAAGTGTCACTTACATTGTCCCTGCGAGCCCGCAGTGTCCTCTGCTGTGTTCGCCCGGCCGATGCCGGCATTCGGCTTTCAGTTCCGTTTTTGGGCGTCACAGCGGGGGGCGGAGCCGCCGGGAAATTCAAAAGTGCACACGTGACATTTACACAGAATACATACAATACAATGTAATCTGCTATAATTACATATATTTATCAAACTATTATAATTATTTATTATATTATCATTTCTTATAATTATTTATAATATTATAATTTATAATTTCGTGTTTCAAACTTGATCATACCCGGGATGTCTACTGGACTCTTGTTTGGACAAATTTAGGTGAGTTATTTTTTCCGTTGCTGCCAAAGTAGAACTCAAGATTGTATTTTTCCAAAAGCCCACCCACATTAAACATAAAAAAAATGTGGCCAAACTGTACTTACCCTTCTCAACGCTCCAGCAATGTCCGCTACTACCACTGTCAACTGCTGGCAGTCATCTTCTAGATTGAATGACAGTCTGTGTCATTCAACCCACTTCATGTGAGCCCGGGCTATTAAACACCCCATGGGCATGCATCATCACTCACCACTCAGTCCAGGAGGAAGGACCCCTTCCGTTGCTGCCAAGGAAGAAGAGGAAGGGCCTGTGACACTACTGGACAAGCCAAAAGACTGATGCGACAAAAGGTAAGTATAGGATGTTGTTATTTCATTTTGGGAGGGGGGAATGGTGTTCAGGGATATGTGGCTGGAGTTCTAATTAAAGATCCAGATTGTGTCCCAAACACACCCTCTGGCTGTATTTCTTGGCATTAGCAGCAATATATGTTTGTAAAGGTGTCCATAAATGTTTAAGAATTGCAAGGGGGTGTGATATGACATTACTTTAAAAGTCAGTCAAATGTTCCTAGTTATGGTTTAGCTGTAGGCTCTAGTAAATTGTACTTGATGGCTCGTTATCAGATGTAAGTTGGCTCCTGTAAACATAAGATGATAAGAAGAGACACAGCTTGTCAACTTGTATATATGATTTTGTTTTGATGTGTTGGTGTGTTGAGGACTGGCACTATTCATTTCTGTTCTGGTGGGAGGATGGTATTCATAGTATGGATTAGTGCTGCAAAGTGATTTGTAGACTAAAACATTATAGAATGACTTCCTTGCTCCAAGAAATGTTTGTTGCACAGCAAGGTAACACTGAAACAGATAGGAGAAAAAAATTAAAATAGTAATTACCAGCAGAGTTCATTAATATTCAGATATGTGAAATCCAACAGACATCAAGTGAACCTGAATGTCAACTGGCTGAATACATCTGAAATTCTACTTGATTTAAAAATGTATTGCATAGATTTATAATCTCAAATTAAATAGGGTTTTAATTTTTACAGACGAACACTGGATTACCGGTAAAATCACTGATTATATGCTGGGGGCCATATTCCCTGCTATGCTTTTATGCAATTATTCAGGATGCAACAATCCTGTCACCAAAATTAAGGATGGTAAGAAAATGGCTTAATTCTGTTAAACATGTTTTCTGAGATTGAAAAATATTAATTCTACAAGTTATGGTTCTTTAGAGGTTGTAGACATGAAAAATGGCTGCTAACTATGGGGACCAGCCAATGATAAAAATGTAACGGGGAGTATGTAAGAAGCATTTTTACCTAGTGGTGGATAAAATGCATGTGCTACTAGACAGGACCTTTAAATAAAAAACTATGCAGAGTGCAAACTCATACTTGGCACAAGTGAGGTGACAAGCAGCACAGGCAGGATATGAAGGTATTTCTAGGAAGAGCTTTGGGAATTTAACTTGCCAATGCAAACTGACCTGTTTACATGACTGAATATTGAGGAATCATGATAGGGGTTAGGGAGTGTCCAAACAGGTATTATGCACAAGAGTGTAGGGAAGAGCTAGAACCTCTTTTGGGGTTTTGTTGGTATCTGGGGCTCCAGTAGGAAGATTTCCCCTCACCACCTGATCTGCTGATAACATTTACCAGACCGGAGGTGAGAGGAACCATCCAACATCAACAAAGAAATAAAGAAAATGATTTCTTTAGTAGAGTGGGGAAATACTAGAATCCCTGTGAGATTTTTATCTCTGTTTCAGATTTCTCTAACAGAACCCCAAATAGCAGTAAAAACCATACTGAGTTTTAATCCTTCCCCACTCTATCTTAAAAAAGGGTTTGGGTTTGACATACACTTTAAATGCCTATTGAATGAACACTTTCAGGTGCATGACACTTTAATGTGGTACCATATTTGCAGTCCTGACTAACAGGTTATTTACCTAGGAATTAGACCTGAATGTAAGCCTTGCCTAAAGGTGGGATTCCTGGAAGCGTAATATAGATATTATAGACATTCCTGTCAATGCACAACCCTAGCTAACTGCATCTACAATAAATATACCTGCCATTACCAGAAAGCAAGAAATAAATAAAAACAGACCAAAAGATTCGGCAAAACTGGATTGACAACCCAAGTGAGCAGGGCTGTCAGCAAAATTACCCTGGCAGCAAAAAATACCATGGTATATACTGCAATTGTACATTACATTGCACGTGGACAGACAGAAAAAAAGACAATTTTGGGGGCACATAAATAAAATTAAAAGAAAACATGACATTTTTATCTGGTAAACTGCTAGGTAAGATTTTATTTTCTCAAACAATGGATACATTTTCTAGAGTATATAAAACAATTTAGTATTTGACTTTGCTCAAACTAAGCCCAGGTCACATCTTTTTGCAGATGCCTGCTGTCTTGGCCAAGATGTCCCCTGCTGTGAATGCCTATGTGTATGGACTTGGAAATGAGAACTACAGAGGAGGAATCTGGCAGTTCCTCACTGGGCAAAAAATTGAAAAAACAGAAACTGACAATAAAGCTAATTAACACAATTTGCAGCCCCTTTTCTGTTTCACACTGTAATGGACAATAATCAGTGTTTAAAAAAGTGTTTGGATTGCTGTGCCTTGAAACAGTTGTAGTGTGAAACCGTACAGCCAGCGAGGATCTACTTACAATGTATTTCATGTTTTGTTTCTTGTATCTTTAACTAAAAGGACAACAAATATGTACAATAAAAAGGGGTGTCTAGGCAATGTATTAATGCTATGTAACAATGATTTTGTGCCTTAATAAAGATATACTGTGGTTTATTAATGCAAGGCCTTAAAATAAACAATCATAGGCATTTAATATTAAGTAAAGCTGAAATCCAGACAGATATAAAAAACACAAAATTATGCAGTTCTGTATTTATTCAAAGATCATTAACAGTATTTGTTTTAATGCAAGCAGATTAAGTACCTGAATTTCACCTGGTATCAGCATATTGCAGTCAGTCAGTTGTTTTGCAGAAGGGGCATACTATAAGAAGGAGAGAGAAAAGTGACAGAGAGATGGGCTCACCAGTCTACTTTTTCTCCTTTTACTGTCCAGTCACAGACTGGAGGAGGCACAAGATCTTTACATATAACTGTATTACAGCAGAGAAAAATTATGTCTCTTGCCTATTCAGATAAGGGTTGCACTGTGTGGCAGAGCTTTCAAAGTCTCAAAACTGGATGGACAGACTTACAATTTCTTTGACGGATAAATTAGCTCCCATATGTTTATTTTTCTGCCTACTTAGCTGTTTGCCTGGAGTTTAACTTTAATATCACTTTAAGTAAATATTTAGTCATCATTATTTGGTGTACTTATGGCACTTTTTGTGTAGAAGAATGTCTTAAGATAGGTATATGAAGGGTTGTTCATTTAGATCTTCTTAAGAAGACAACCCTATGTAAAAATGTACTTGCAAATGAAAATATGTAGATATTCTTCTATTATACTATGTGCTTTATCTAAAGTTTTATTATGATAAAGAAGAGGAGAATTTTCTTTATCTTTTGGATCAAAACTCTCCAAGTCAGTCCTACAGGGCCATTATTCTCACACAGTTCTCAAACTTTTCCAATTAGCAGACGATGTATAGAACAACGTTTAGTTCCTTAAGAACATTCATTGTGTGCTCCATATTCTGCCCTTTAGGCAATCCCACTAGCATGAAGTTATCAATTCTAGGTGATACCCTGCAGCTATGTGCTCACATTAAAAGGTTTTCTGAACATTACATTACAAATTCTTTGATTTATTTGATTGTTAATCCCTGTATTAATACCCATTGCAGGTCTGATCTTTCAAGCTTATACTAACATAAAATACATGTTCTTCTGGTGAGCGAGGGCTCTTTTGTTCCACTCCATACAAGACCTGGGCCATCAGGCTGTTTCTGATTGTAGTAGCTGGAGGCTCCGGGAAGCATATACATCAAAGCAAGAGCAGTTGGGAGGGGGTCATTACTGAAATTGGGTATGGATCGGGAGATGGTGAGAGAGGCAGCAGCTGAGCCAGGGTACAGTGCAAACAATGACAATGGAGCTCCAAAAGCCATCATTGATACTGTATAAGTACAGAAGTGAAAGAGAAGCCAGGAGGGGGGCCATTAATGGAATGGGGTACAGATCCGGATGGGGTACAGATGGTGATGCTTACTGGTCTCTTGTAGTGATCTGGGCTACGGACTGTGTCAGGGGTGATTTTATAGCTCTATGATATAGATACTAGTACCTCTGTTCCAGGCGTACAGTGCTGAAAGGGAGGGAGCACTCCACATGATGCAGCAGTTTGTAATGCCCACTTCAATTACAGGCACCACAAGGAAACATGGGGATTGTAGTTTAGCAAAGGGCAGGAAGCTGATGTATCACCTCATCCACACTGGTCTTTAGGGAGAGTCGTAACTAATGAAAAATGGCAGCCACAGCTACACAAATTGATCCAGTAAATGCACACATTACCATGTTAGAAAAAATATTTTAACAATACTAATACAACGTTTTTTTTAGTGAAAAATATTCTTTATTAATACTTGATGTTGGGAAAGAGACTTAAGTTGACACAGGATGTGATCTACCCTATCCTGTCCTGCTCTACTGTCACTCCTCTCACTGCCGGGGTGGGGGTCGCTGTGTAAATGTTAAAAAATGGCCCTCTGACATAGGGGTCTATGCACTAAGCTGCCGTAGGCAGCCAAGTGAATGACCGACCTAAGGCTGTTCACTTCAGGCTGGTACGGCTAATTTTTGGGACCTGATGGAGAACTGCAGCAGAGGGCGGGTACAATGCTAGTTTGCTATTGGCTATTGCAAATTGAAATAACCAATAGGAATCTAGCAATGCATTCCTATGGCCAAAATTGACATAGTTACATAGTTAGTCAGGTTGAAAAAAGACACAAGTCCATCGAGTCCAACCTATAGAGGTAAAAAAAACAAAAGAAGAAAAGCTTTTTGTGTACTGGTGCCCAAAACTGAACCGCATATTCCAGATGAGGTCTGGAGGTCTTATTTTTATTTCTTTTCTATTCTGACACGGCTCCATGTCAGAATAAAAATTAATAGTCCGTACAGCAGCCCTTCGGTTCTACTGAACCGAAGGGGTCCTGGGGCCGAAGGATCGGCCGAAGCTACGGCTAGATCCTTCGGCTGCTTTGTGAATAGACCCCATAGTGTTTTTTAAACACTGTTCAAACACCATATAAAGAGATACAAAGTACCTTTGTTACTTTTGCATCTGTTCTATTAAATTCCTATGCAAATCAAATGGCTTTCAATCTGCATATGATATCAGCTAAATCAACCTGAGGAGTAAAAGAAAAATGCTTAAGCTGGCCATACACTGTTATATTTTTTTTTTTGTTCAGCCTGCGGACACCATACTCTCCAATTGTGTCCTTTGTATTCAGGCAGAAGCTGCTGTCAGAAAAACCAAACAGTGATGGCAGCCAATTGGCTACCATCACTGTTCACCCCAAAATTTTCCATCTGGCTCCTTTGATTTCCTGATCATGGGATGCTGGATGGAAGGGAGCCGTCATTAAGAACCAGCTGAAACTCTCACCGTGTATGGCCAGCTTTAGTTTACCCTCATCAGCCCTAATTAACTCATTTTAACCTGATCACCTTACCTATTATTTTCCTGCAATTTTTTCTTTTTTTTTAATTTCTATTTTTCTACCATAAAACTTTTTTTTTTTTTCGTACAGTTAGTTTATTTTTTAGTGGTGCATAAAAAAAAGGGGCAAATGTGGAAAAAAAAAGCCTTTCTTTTATTTATAAATAATAGAATTTTTTGTCATTTCAAACAGAGCAAATCATAGAATAAATGATTTCAGTGCTAGTTTTTTAAACTAGCACTGATCAAAGTATAAAATACTTTTTTTTGTTTTTGAATTGCGTAAAAAGAAAATCATATTTGGCAGATGATATCACAAAAAGAAAGCCTTGTTTATCTCCAAAAATCCATTATATGTATTACTTTGTTATCTTAAACTCATAATAAACCCTTGGGGTTTTTTTTTTAATTCAGCACAGTAGATCCACACTTACTTGATTAGCTTTTTTTGTTTTCAATTGCCCCATTTCATTTATTTTTTCCAGTTTTTATAGTGCGGCCCTCTCCTCCTATTTGCAGTTGTCTCCTTTACCCAGCAGGTTGCAAAGGAGACACCTGTGCGTGTACGCTACCAGCCAGCAACTGAGTCGGGCAGTGTGCGTCAATTAACACACACACAGCACTCAAAAAGCCACGCCCCTGCTCCTGCCTCCTCACAGCAATTTGACAGGCAGCTGCAGACACCTATCACTTCCCTGTACTCACTGTCCCCGGGATCCCTACGTTACAACCTGGAACTTTTGGGGAGCAGCGCAAATATCTTGGAGCAGTGAACATGGACCAAAGCTAACAGAGTTATTCACAAAAGGGTGAAGAGTTTGGAGAAGGCAGGACAAGTGAACAATCTAGGACAAAATAGCTGAACTGGAAAGTGAGCTGAAATGGAAATTTTTTCCAAATCATCTATTTTGGCCTAGAATGTTCACTTCTCCTGCCTTCTCCAAACTCTTCACCCTTTTGTGAATAACCCTATAAGTGTTTGGAGGTGGGGGCATGCAAAGGTACTGGCGCATTTTTTACCTTAATGCAAATAATTTATTTGTAAGGTAAAAAAAAGCGCATAGCCTATAGTACTACTTTAAGTAATGACAAAGTTACTGCTGAATAAACAGGCCCATAGCAGAAATTCAAAAATTGCTCTGGTCCATAGGGGAGGTACAGGTGTGAGAGCCAAAGTGGATACAGAAAGTTCTATATGCCTTTATATTTATTGTAGTTTGGCAAGGTGTAAGCAGGAGTCATATAAACGCATCAGTCACTGTTGACAATTTTTTGCATGATTACTTTTTACAGGTATATCCTGTAAGTGCTGAAGATTAAGTAGAGAATAATGTATGACTTTCAGAACTTGTCACAAGGATGTTGCCATTTTCTTGAACTACTCTAATAGGAAAAAACTACAGAAAAGTTACAAGTTTTTTTTAAAACACACACGCTACAATAATAATTAACCTTTAAATCCATAATATATACAGGTGAAACTCGAATAATTAGAATATCGTGCAAAGTTCATTTATTTCACTAATGCAACTTAAAAGGTGAAACTAATATATGAGATAGACTCATTACATGCAAAGCAAGATTTTTCAAGCCGTGATTTGTCATCATTGTGATGATTATGGCTTACAGCTCATGAAAACCCCAAGAACCCCAAATCCACAACCTCAAAAAAGTAGATTATTGCATGCAATCAATAAAACAAGGATTGTACATAGAACAATATCGGACCTCTGAAAAGTACAAGCATGCATATGTACTCAGTACTTGGTTTGGGCCCCTTTTGCAGCACTTACTGCAAATACTTTTGCATGATATTCTAATTATTCGAGTTTCACCTGTAGTATGTGTTTTTACTGTTCAGTATATGCAAAATATGTCAAATTACACATAAATTCAAAGTAAATGATAAGTACCGGTAAATGATATTAATCCCATAAAGGTCAAACCCATATATTTAGCCCAGAACTTGTTACTTGCAGATGTTCTCAATGGATTAGTCTGCAAACAGCAGTCTGTGCCTTAGCAGCTGTTTAAATCAGAAGTGGGTTAGACACAAAAAGGAGGTCACCAGACACAGCATCTGTAACTGTAACAAATTGTAGGATAACTGTCTAAAAAGGGGCTTCACATAAGCCCTGCTTTAAAAAGTTTAATTACATGCGT